GGGGTTGTCTGTGTGTGTCGTGTGTGTGTGTGTGTGTGGTCGTAGTACGTGACGCTCCCTTTCGCATGGGACGCTTCGAGACGCAGACCCAAACTACAGGGAGCACGATTGTCGTAGACGACTAGAGGAGGTCCGAGCGAGGAAGAGTAGAGAGGACAGTGCGAGTAGACGGAGGCAGGGAAGAAGCGCCAGAGACTCTGCGAAGACGTCGCTTGACGGGGACCCCAGTGTAGCCCTTTATTGTCGGAAGTCTTCGTTTTCGGAATCGCGTCATGACGGTAGACGGTGATCTCAGTCTAGACCAGTCGTGTCGTCTGAAACTCGAGACAAACCGTGCACAAGCCAGGTGTACCGAGTCTTGACGTATGACTTGTCTCTTTAATTTATGAAGTCCAAAATCAGAGTATGCCCAAATCATGTAAATGCTTGTAAAGACTGTCAGAATTACTAAACTACATTACTTCGTGTAATAAGTTCACAAATTTCGACCTATAGTCGTTCATTTCAGCTATCCGACGAAAATAAAACTAACTGAAGGATGGACATCATCTAAACACTGGACGAGGCGTAGCTTTAGTCAAAGGCGAAACTGCGGCTTCTCTTGTAAACTCACATATGTCACAACCTTTCTCCCCCGCAAGGATCGAAAGGATGGGGCATGCTTTCTGTTGTCTTTGTGAAGGTCACTTGATCCTCTGGGTCTCTCTGCATCCCTGCACATCTGTGGGGTCCTGCTTTCATTGTCTGTTGATCTTTTTTTCTGTACAACATGGATCTGATGATAACCTTCGGTACATCTGCCTCTTATTGGTCTAGATGGAGGAGGAAGAGGAGGAGCGTCGGAGACAACCTCCCATCATACCCGAGCCGGAGCCCGAGGAGGAACGTAAACGCCACAAAGGTTCACGAGAACACCGGGACCGCCGACACGAGCAGCCCCGGCCAGAACCCGCCGCACGGCCCCCCGTCCAGTCAGACAATGAGGTGGAGGAGGGGGAGGAGGAAGAGGAGTTTGAAAATGACGAAGAAAACCCCGATGTCAAACCGTGTTTGAAGCCTACGATGCGGCCCATCACAACAGCACCCTCGGTTTCTTCTGCCAGTGGCGGCGCGTCCCCAAACTCACCGGGGGACGAGTCTCCCTGCGGCATCATCATCCCCCACGAGAACTCCCCCCCCGACGCCCTGCCGCAGGAGGAGAACCGGCCCAAGATCGGCCTCAGCCTCAAAATGGGTGAGTCCTCACTGTAGCATAGACAAACATAATAATAATAATAATAATAATATTGGGATTTGTATCGGTCACACATGCAGAGCACACAGTGAAATGTGTTCTCTGCTTTTAACCCATCCTAGTACCAGGAGTCTAGTACTAGGAGCAGTGGGCAGCTATTGCACAGCGCCCGGACAGGGGGGTGTCCGGTGCCTTGCTCAAGGGCGGCAGGGCAGGAGGTGAACTGGGACCTCTCCAAATAGCAGTCCACACCATTTTTAGGTCTGGTCGGGGACTTGAACCGGCGACCCTACGGCTCGCAGTCCAACCCCCTACTGACTCAGCCACTGCATAGTACTTCATTAAGATATTTAATATTATTTATATTACTATTTGTCTGTTAATTAGTAAGAAACCTTGCCACTTTTGATTATCAATGAGTTCACTTTTCTCATTACGTTAGTCACAGCTTTTACATTTTTTTTTTTTTTATTAGATTTCTCTTCGTTTTATATCAAAATGAGGAGTAAATTCCAATAAATATTTTTCACCATTTAATATACAAAATAATAAGGCGCTTTCACACCGCAGTACTTTTCCCGTTTAGTTCCGATAGTTCCTGGGGTTTTGCGTTCACACCAAAAACAGAACTTGGTTCATGAGAACTTTTCCCCCCTTTTCAGTCCCCGCTAGAGAGGTGGTACTTTCCTGTGGAGGGAAAAGTTCCCATTTCTGATTGGCTGGGCGAATTGCAAACCACGCCCCGTAAAACTCTGAAAAGTTGTATTTGCTGGCATTAGCATTAGCCCAGCTCACCAACGGAGAGAGTCTAACTTATGGCAACACAAAAGAAAACATGGGAGCGGTGGAGATGAGGAGGTGTCGGCGTTCTGGTGATTTACTCGGAGGACTTAAGTAGAAGCTGCTGGGAGTCCCAGTAAATAAACCCAAAGCAGAAGAAGTGACGTCAGCGGCTTCATTTGCGTAACCTTCCCTCAGGGACTTATTCCGGTGGGAACGCGGTCTGCTCTTTAGTTCCAAGGGGGAACTAAGTGCTGGGAACTAAGGACGGCAAAGTACTTGGTGTGAAAGCGGCTATTAATCGATGTCAGTGGTACTTCTGTATAAACCAGTGATAGTTTAGCTGCTCAAAGAAAATATGAAGTGAGATTATAATTTTATTACCAAGATTCCCTTTTGTAACACATGTAGTACGTCAAGATTCAGAAGCACACATGTCTGTCCTGAGAGTAGCCTCCATGCACCAACAGGGGGTCCGCGGGGTCTTAAAAAGTATTCCATTTGACTTCAGGATTCCTGCATATACCCTGAACATGCACAGCTTGCATAACAACGTCCTCATTCATAATTTGAACCGCCCTCCCACCACAGTTCTCTTCTTGAGTCTCATATGCCCTCCTTGCCCCCCTCCAGGTGCCTCAGGAAGCCCCAGTCAACCCAACGTCATCAAGAGAAAGAAGCTGCCCGGGGACAGCGTCTTCGACAAGTTTGATGATGAAGAGACCAACGAGCAGCCTCGCAAGAGGAAGCTGGTTCCCCTGGACTACGACGACGATAAGAGCCTGGGGGTGGACGGGGCATCCAGCATAAAGGGGGCCAACACCGAGGAGAAACGTAAAAACATCAAGACCCTGATAGAGAAGATCCCCACAGCCAAGCCCGAGCTGTTCTCCTACCCTCTGGACTGGACTATGGTCGACACGGTGAGGAGAGGAAGATTGGGCCTCATTCACAAATACCTTCATACATTTTTGGAGAAAGGTCCTAAGCATAGACCAATTTATAAAAGAGCTGTTGGTATGCGTGTTATCAAATTGTCCTTGTGAATTGAAAGCATGTGCCAATTACCCTTATCAGTAGGTAAACATCCTACCAACGCAGATACGTATGAGATTGGGTTTCAAATAGAAATGTCCTCACGAGAACCCATGGGGAATAAGGCCCTTTCATTATTTACAATAATAGCCTTTATGAGAAGCTGTACAGTGATATGTTTTAACAAAGACCATCATTCGTGTATTTACAGGCTTTGCATCATAACCTATGACACGTGAGGCTCAATTAAATGAATCTGGTTAAATACTTTACAACCGTTTCAGAAGTACATTGATCTCCCTCTGACTCTTCTCTCCTGACGTGGGCTTTTAATCTCTTTTCCTCATCAGACGTTAATGGACCGTCGTGTTCGGCCGTGGATCAATAAAAAGATTATTGAGTACATTGGAGAGGAAGAAGCGACACTCGTGGACTTTGTCTGCACCAAGGTATTTATTCAATCATATGTGCGGTTGACTTTATAAAGGGGAAATGAAACTGTAAATAATGCTGATGCTTCTGTGTTGTCCAGGTGATGGCTCACAGTATGCCACAGAGTATCTTGGATGATGTTGCTATGGTAAGTAGAGTGAGACTTTCACGCTGTTAGCTATGTTTTAGTTTTATGTTCATGTAATTGTAGCAATCAGGTAGTTGTAGCATTGAAATGATGACCAAATAATAAAGTGTGTAAGTGTTGACCTTCTTAGTCTAGTTAACAGTTAGCAGATTGGTACGTGAGAAAAACAAAAGCTGAATCCAAAAGTCATTCAAACCACGATGCGTGACAGGATAACCATTTTCTCAGTTTCTTCATTTCGAGGAAGTGCAGCTTTTTTATTTTTCAACTAGTTTAGAAAAAGTGAATGTTATTTTTTTTTTAAAGATGGTCAGACAAAACGATTTCTATCTGTGAAATGATGCTCTCAGAAATATGTTTATGTCTATCTTTGGGGCATTTTTCTGATCAGATACCGATAGTGAAGAGATAACAGAGAAGCCGCGACTCACTTCCCTCTTGTCTCCTGCTTTAGGTTCTTGACGAAGAAGCAGAGGTCTTTATCGTGAAGATGTGGAGGTTACTCATTTACGAAACCGAAGCCAAGAAGATTGGATTGGTGAAATGAGTGAAACCCCTGAATGAAGATCAACTGTTTGTTTTTTTCATACATTGTGTATAATAGTGTAGCATAATTATGTCACCCCAGGACGAACGGTAAAATGCAGATTCTGCTGATTCTCACACCAGATGTTCAGCTCCACCCTCTCCCCTCTCCGTCTGCAGGTGCTGACTGTGTCGGTGTGCTTTTGTGTAAATACAGTACGTCATTATTTCATTATGGTTCAAATGTAAAATGCTACCAGGTAGGAACATTGTTTTGCGCTGACTTATTGTGTTTGTATACATGCCAACACACTTTGTGGAAATACTCGTGTGCAGAATTAGTTCCCGTTACATTTTTTCTGTTGTCTTTAGGGGGTTGGAATCTGGCTTGCAGTTGAATGTGGGTTGGTTAATTGGATTTTGATTATGAATACGTTAAGAGCGATCTTTTTTTACAGCGTTATTTATTCAGGGTTTTGGACACAACTTACATTTATTCCTTAAAAGTAAATAGATTTTTCCTCTTCATTTTCACTTATTACATTCCTGATAATTGTGTTGGCATGTTGTCAGACCACCTCAGAAACGTAGTCATTTGAAGTGTCTGCTGATAACCCACATATCTCATGATGACACCCTGCAGCTGTAGAAGCACACGTCATAACCACTACAGGAAAATGAGCTGAGAATGGGGAAATGAGTCGAAGTTGTGAAGATGCTCTCCATTTGTTTTTGTTTTGTATTGGTGAACATTTGAATAAAATTGATTTTTTATAATATTTTGTAAACCACCGGTTTATTTCTCCCTATTTTTTTTTCACAAATTACTCATAAGTTTGATTTTATTCATTAGATTTTCCTCACACTAACATCACTTGTCACATTTTCCAAAGTTCTAGAGTATGACTGACTTTTTCATGATACAATGAATGCTATGACATTTTTAAAGATTTATTTTGACATTGTATACTGTCGTTTTTCTGAATATTTTTAAACATAGTATACTTTAACATTTTTTTTGACACTATACCAGTGTTTCTCAAACTTTTTCATACCAAGGACCACTTAACCAATGAAAAAACACTTGCGGACCACCTAACTCCAAAAACACATTGTTTTTCTAGAACAGATTACAAATTGCCTGAAAATGGTACAAACAAGTGGCAACATGTGACGAAGGTGTTGCGCTGGGCTATATCATGCAATCGAAAGTGAAACTTAAGCTCGCTCCATTGCGGAGATATTCCCGAAAGAGTGCGGAAAACTTTTATTTATTTCAAATGTGAAATGTTACCAATATACTCACGGACCACTAGGGGGCGCTCATGGACCACCAGTGTCTTTCTTTAGTATTTTCAACATACTATATTCCGTCCTTAAATCCAAAGGTCAGGGTCTGACCCCTTTTCATACTCACAGCAACAGACAAGACGCATTGAGTTCAAAACTTCCAGAACTTTATTGATGCCATGTGAGCTACACAAGAGCAAGTTTTGCCAGTAAAACCTTAAACTGGGGGAGAAAAGCACAAAGTCACCTCTAACCGGTGTTGAGACAGACGAGCTATGTGTTCCTCCTTTAAATCCATCTCATCCAGTGACCAGCCAGAGACACAGCGCCATGGAGACTGAAGACACTGGGCTCTTAAGCAAGAGCTAAGCAAAGGCCACCGCTTGTTATTTAATCAAATCAGTGTAATTAAAAATAGAAACTATACTGATGTTTATCTTGTAATTTGACTTTCCTTCCATGTCTGCATAAGAAGACAGATTGTTGTGTTACCATCTCCTGAAACAACCCTTGCTAAAGATCAAACCGGGACGTTTGCCAATGAACTATTAACACCAGTTAATGTTTGCAATGTGAAAGTTAACATCTGTTGGTCTGAGTGACTGCGGCCAGGTCTGTCCACATTTCTTCTTCGATGGTTTTCTCCTTCAGCCTTCCTGTGAGGACAGACTAGTCTTCTGCTTTGGCCTCCATCTCCTCGTCGTCGTCGTCTCCGTCCACCTCGGCATTCTCTCTCTCCAGCCTCTCCAGCTGCCGGGCGAGCTCCGTCTCATCCGTGTCCGTCACCACCTTCGGCTGAAAAGTAATACAAAAAAAGTAGGAATATTTAAAACCTGATCAATTCTGTAGTTGTTTTCATGGCCAATTTTGGTGGGGGGAAAATAAAGTCTAAGATTGATTATTCAAATAATATTTAAAAAGCAAAGCCAGCCGTTTGGTAAGAATCAAGTCATCATTTTGAGAAGGAATAAAGTTCTTATTTATAAAAAACTAAAAAAGAGACGGTTTAACATATTTTATATTTAAGGAATTTAAACACGAGTTATATACATTTTTGGTAAATATATTTTTTTAAATGAACTTCATTAATAAAGGAACACTTAACTACAGTTTTTAGAGGAATACAAAACGTAGGAGACACTGTAGATAATGTTTGATGGTAAAGAAGGGTATGAAAATGTTCAACCCGAAAAGGAACTAGTTAATTATATTGATGCTTTATTATTCGCATCAAACCGACCCCTTATACGCACAAAAAAAGGTTGTGGTTCGGCCTGTCCATCATTAATAACTTACTAGACGTGTGAAGCATGTACATAACTTGTATTTAGCTGGACCCCACACTCTTCCATAAGTGGGTCAAAAAGGACCCCTATTAGAATAATATGTGTTTTTATTCAATTTGTCATTTTGGTTAAGAAAAATCACTCTTGTTTCACACTAGAAATATTTTATATTTCATTTTTCACTATTTATAATTTTAGACATTTTGAAAAAAAACGAAATTCCATAGAAAATGCATGCGGGTCATTTTTGACCCACTGAAGCTTGGGGTAGCAATACAAAAACTACAATTTCTTAAAAAGTATAAAATGTAAATTTTCAATTTGAATGGCATGATATCCGAAACATGTTTGAGGAATAGCTGGAATATGAAATGATAAAAAAACGTAATTACAAAGATACTCTAAGAAAACCACCTCACCGGGTCAAAAAAGACCCACTTATGCATCTAAGGCTAGAATAATTTATATCCAGTGTACAAACTGGAAACTAAGTAATACCAGAAACACACACAGGGCATGGATTTTTTTTTATGTACAAGTAAAGCCCCTCACCTCCATCTGGATGTTGAAGACGCCTCTCTTCTCCTCAATCTTCTCCTTGATAGCAGCCATGGCCTGGTTGAGGACGGACAGACCCTCTGTGCGCTCCAGAGTGGTCGTCGTCATCACGTAGCGAGGGGGGGCGATCAGGTTGATCTGCCAAGAACAAGAACAACAATGTTTGTTTTATTCAAGCAGCAGGTCTCAAGCGGTAATTCCTTTCAGCGTAAACAGCAAACAGAAAGAGTGCAGTGTCAGTGAAGGGCGAGGGAAAGAGGCGATTTTACCTTGATGGGCATGACCTCTGTGGAGCAGCCAAGTCCCGCCCTCAGAGCTGCCTTCACTGCATCAATGCCCTCATAGCCATAGCACGCCACTTCAATATCTGCATGTGGGGGACAAGAAAAGATGACTGAGTTATGGTTGTAGGTCTTCACCATTTTACTTAGTCCTAAGTCCAACTAAGAGTCTTTAAGGATGCAGTAAGATAAACTAAAAGGTTAACTGTTGGATTTAGGTGCTGCTAGAAAACAATTACTAGAGCATGGTACAAAGCGGATCCACCTACCAAGGAGCGATGGCTGGGAGTAGTACAGGAAATATTTGATATGGAAGGATTCACACACATATTGGAGGGTCCAGGAAGGGACGAGTCCAAATGGGAAAGATGGGTTGAATATAAACGAAAAAATGAACGACAGCACAAATTGGGAGTTGGAACCAGACCATGATGCTGCATTACAAATAAGGTAGAAAGCTTCCATGTCACTGTTGACGGCTTGTTTTTATTATTATGTTCTTCTTTTTTCAATGGGTCTTTAATTCAATTGTATACTGAACTATATGTGGTTTTGTGCGTTTATAAAAATGTGAATAAAAATGTAGTCAGTGGCTCAGCCAGTAGAGGATTGGACTGGGAGCCGTAGGGTCGCTGGTTCAAGTCCCCGACCAGACCTAAAATATGGAGTGTAGACTGCTACTTGGAGAGGTCCCAGTTCACCTCCTGCCCTGCCTTGGTGCCCTTGAGCAAGGCACCAGACATGCCCCTTCCCCCCTCACTCTCATTTCTCCCAGGGCGCTGTACAAGAGCTGCCCACTGCTCCTAGTACTAGACTCCTGGTACTAGGATGGGTTAAAAGCAGAGAACACATTTCACTGTGTGTGCAGTGTGCTCTGCATGTGTGACCATTAAAGAGGGTTTCATCCCTCCGAATATTATATTATTATTATTACTCAAGTGTGAAAAAAGAAGAAAAAAAAATGTTGTACGTAGAGCAGAGTCCTGCATCGAGTAGGGTACTGACGGGTGACCCGCAAAAATGTGATTCGCGGGTGGTATTTTAAAAAAATCGGGTTCGGTTCTGGGTAAAACAAAGAAGGGTCGGGTCGCGGGTGTTGAATAATGAATATATTAAAAATAATAATAATTTAATTGAATGTTTAAATCCTCAGACCTCTCCCCCGCGGATAATCCTAACCTCTGCACCGCTTCAATCTGCTGCTGAGCGCGCCACATTCTAAATGGCTGAGGTGAAGCTCTCTAACGGAGAATACAGCATTTTCAATAACTCTTCCTCAAGAGCGAAATCCAACGTCTGGGAGGCTTTTGGTGTCATCCTAGATGGAGAAAAGAACCAACATCCCACGCTTTTTGATCCAAATACACAACTGCGTGTGTTAATAATTGCATGTTTTCACTGCTATGCGGGTTCGAGTCGGTTTGCGGATCGTGCCGGCGGGTCAGGTCGGGTTGCGGAACTAATTGGCAATATGTGCGGGTAGCGGGGCGGGTTCGGTATTGCACGTCGCGGGTGCGGGGCGGGAGCGGGTCTTGAAAATCAGACCCGTGCAGGACTCTGCCCTGTACCCCAATGCATGTGTGTGTTGTTCCTAATGGGAGTAAAAAGACTCATATTTTGAATAAATATATCATGAAATTGGTCATTTTGGTAATTTTGGTAATTTTGGTCATTTTGGTCATTTTGGTCATTTTGGCCTAGATACATTAGAACATCTTATATCATTCTGAATTTGTCGTGTGCTCGCCCATTTAAGGGATTCATGTTGTGTTTCTTTTGTTTCATTGTGTGATATGTCTGCTGGTTTCGTCTCTTTTGTTCTAAAGCTCTACAGTAGAGACCCTTCATGGTGTTTGTTTGTCTCTCTCTTCTCTTCATCCTCACCCTCTCTTCATCCTCTCTTCCTCTTCCTCCTCCCTCTCGTTCCCAGCCACAGACCTTTCATCTGCTTCATTGTTCAAAGGCTCGTCTGAGTTTGGATCCTGCCTTCTCTCCTAGAGCCGATGAAAGGAGACAGAGGAGACAGAGGGAGGGATTAGGGGAGAGAGGGAGGACATTACGCTGTTGTTGTTGTTGTTTTTATTGTTGCTATTAGTGTTGTGCACTCACTCATCCCTTATCTCTCTCTCCCGCTCCCTCTCTGATGCTAAACACAAGCAGACAATCAATCATGCTCCGTCATACAAACCCGGATCATGTACTGTGAACATTTCCAATTACATTTGTTCCCGTCATGAATACAGAAAGACTCGTCTTCATCGGGACACTTCAACAACCCCTCAGCAGGAATACTGGAGTGGGCTCGCAAATAATAACAGCAGCAGTTTGAGAGCTGGCAGTGTCAGACTGACTACCCTATGCAGTCCTTTAAGTACTAAGTATTGTCAGTATTAGTAAGTATTATTCTCATTACAGATCACAACTGTGTTCTAGATTCATCTATCTACTAAATATCAGAAAATAGTGACAAAGTTCTTCCTAGTTTCTCAAAGTCCAAGATCATTTCTTGAATATGTTTCTTCTGTCAACGCAAAACCCAAAGGAGTTCACTTTATATATTTATTTATAGGATTTAAAACAGAGAAAAGCTGGAAATAGCCGTTTTTGAGAGGCTGAAACTGCAATTGAAAATTCTGGATAATCACAATAGATGGAAATTATTTTCCCTTACATAATACAGAACATTTTAGTGAAATGGTTAATCCCAGTTTCACAAACTCCAACGTAATGTCTTTGATTACAATATTTGAGAGACTGAAAACAATATCTTTTGGTTTGTTTTGTTAGAAATTACCAATATTTCTCTGTCGATAGACTAACCATAGCCGCTTTGTTAGAAGTCATTTTAGTTGTGGTACACCGGCTGATTTCGGCCGTCGATAGGTGTCTGGCCGTCGATGAGCGTCCTGTCGCCTGTCGTGTCTTTTCCTCCGTGCCGACACCTTCCATTTCAACATGTTGAATCGGGAGGCTGTCAGCAAAAGAAATCACTCTGATTGGCTGTTCAGCTTAGCGAATCAGAGCATCAGAAGCGAAACGGAAGTGAAGAAGGCACACACAGACGGCTATTATTTTTCATTTTCCAGTACCGCACTAAACATGTTTCCGATTATAAGTTGGTCTGTGAACAGTCTGTGATGGACGAGAGTGAAAATGGAACGCACACTATTTGTTGTTTGTATCACGCGGTCTCTTTTGAATGACGAATACACACTACCGCCGCCTGCTGGTAAGGAGAGTTATTGCCACTCACGCATGCGCAGTGCGTACGTGCTACTTGGCCGTCGTCTGAAGTCTTTGCGGTGTGTTCCAGTGCGACACATGGCCAAGACGCAGGAGACGTGAGGTGACACAACAGTCGGGTCCGACGTGTTCTTTGGTGTCAGTTTGGTGTGTCCGGGCCTTTAGCTGTTCAGTAGCAGTAGCAGTTGTAGTGACGGTGGTAATATTAGATGTGCAAAAGCGGTATTTCTAATGATAGAAGTTGTATCAGCAGTCATTTACTTCACATATTATTTTTACAAGTTAAAGCAGCGTTAATACTAACAGTAACTATAAGGATAGTAGTTGTAGTATTGGTACGTTGAAGTAGTACTGATTACTGTTACACATTTCTAAATACAAAAAACAAAAAAAAAGAGAATCACACATGGAATAAAACGCTCCAAAGTAGTTTCTTCAACTTCCATCCATCTTTGCTTTCTGTTTTTGTTTTGAAAGTAAGCCATGATGAAACTATATTTAGNGACGGTGGTAATATTAGATGTGCAAAAGCGGTATTTCTAATGATAGAATTGTATCAGCAGTCATTTACTTCACATATTAGTTTTACAAGTTAAGCAGCGTTAATACTAACAGTAACTATAAGGATAGATGTTGTAGTATTGGTACGTTGAAGTAGTACTGATTACTGTTACACATTTCTAAATACAAAAAACACTATATCAAAGACTATCTAATATTGAAGTTGCATGCTTCCTTTTCCATCAATTACATATTCCTTCTGATCTGCAATGAACTGGGAAGAAAAACAAAGTTTGGACTGCAGACTCTGACCTGATCCATTTAATCTCACACACACACACACACACACACACACACACACACACACACACACACACACACACATTCTCCTCCTCTCCTGTGGACGAACACACACAATTACACACACACACACACACACACACACACACACACACACACACACACACACACACACACACACACACACACACACACACACACACACACAGACACACACACACACACACACACACACACACACCCTCTGTTTTTTTCANTTGTGCTTATGAAGTAGTACCTTCATAAAGTAGTTTTTACCACTAACTGATACGATGTTTGTTCACTACACTACTTGACAGAAAACTCACTTTTGAAGTCATGATATATATAATGTTAACCAGCTAGAGAACAATAACCTTAGATTTGAGGTCTGTTGAGACCCATGAGACAACACAAATAATATCTGACACTGGTAAAAAGTACCACTCAAAACACAGCAGTTTTTCAATTCTCTGTTTCAGAATGGAAAGACAATTTAAAGGTGGGTAGAAGCTGTCGAGAAACCGGTCTCGAGATACACTTTTTGTTATATTCCATGGAATGCTCTTAACATCCCGATATGCAATGAATATCTGGAAGTGCTTTGACAAAAAATCCATAAAAAAATGTCATCTGTGGAAGCCGTAGTACTGTAAAAAGCACGACCAATCATCTGAGCCGGCCCGGCTAAAATAACTGGATGGCCTACCTGCCTGTCAGCCTTCCATCTGTGCACAAACTTATCTCGTGCCCTCATTGGTCATGTGCGCGTTCGTGCGTGTTGGAGGAGGGGCTCTGTGAGGAAGTGGCAGATTTTTTCCGACTGTGTATATTCTAGCGCACTCGATCTGGTTTCTCCAAAATGACCTACCCCACCTTTAAGCACAGCTGCTTCTCTTCTGTTTGGTACCTAAACAGCTTTTGGTTAACCGCTTTATCTGGAAGCCATTTTTATAATTGTGACAGTAACGCTCTCACAGCTGAGCGAACCATTTGGTATAACACACAATCAAAATGTAACAATAAAATATTTTCTCTTTTTGTCTAGAAAATATATATTTACAATTATAAATTACTATTAAGAATAGGATGGAAACATTTCTATGTGTTTCATAATTGACTTTGCATAAACTGAGATCAATAATAAACAAATAAAAATCACCAACAGAGACACACAAACACACAAACATAAAGAAATGTAAGAAACTTGAGTCCATCCCTGCAACACGTGAAAATCCAGCGACAACCAGCACTGTCCATCCTCTCCAGGAACATTCATTATTGCTCTTCTGTTGAACCTCCTGCTGCCCTGAGGCTCCTTGCAGTGACCCCTGTGACCCCTGTGACCTCTAGCACAGCCAGGAGGTGGGCACCCACTGCGGCTCAGTGTCCAACTTCTCTATCAGCCTGCGCAGCTCGTAGAAAGCCTGATCCGGATCCATGTTCACGATGGTCGCATCGAAGAAGTGGCCGAAGTCGAGCTCCATCTCGCGGGCCTTTTCAATGATCTCCTTCAGATCGTCAGGCTGGGCACAGAAAACGAGAATTGATATTACGACAGTGAGAGGATGGTGACAAACAATCTGTATTTGACATAAATCTTACATTTTTGGATGGTCATTATTTTATTTGTAATGATATGATTTTTTTGATATCACCGTAACAGCTAAGTATTAGTTGGTTAATTAATGATGTGATGCAATATTCTGTATTTGTGGTGTATTCAGAGTAAGCTTTTTTTTTTTATTTCCCCCCTGAAAATCTATTTTATATCTATTATAGCAAAATGCAGGATTAACATTTTTATTGTATAATGTTTTAATCCGGCACTTTGCTGAAATAGGCTCAAACTATGGCATTTACAATGTACATTTTCACTTTTATCAGCACAATACAATCGTGCCACATCAGACAGTGGGGCACCTTTGGTGTTTTCCCCTCTGTGGCCAGCAGGGTGCGTAATCGTTCCTGAGAAGGAGGGGCGATGAAGAGGACATATGGCTTGAGGTTGGACGTCCTCAATATCTGCAGTGACTGACAAGAGGGAAAACAGGGACGTAAGAATATGTCAAATGGACGGAAATACCAAACTTGAAACATGAAACGTTCCTAACTTCAAAATGTTCTATAGCAGTCAGCAGTAATGAGTTTGATCAACCAAAACAAACCCAATTATATTTATGTGCAGGATAATGATGTCCCTGATGCTAGAGATCAAGATATGTGCTTTGTAATCAACATATAAGACATAGACATCTCTGGGAAACATGAAGTACTCAGTGTCTCACCCTGGTGTGGAGGCAGAGCAGACAGATGCGTCCAGAGTTGACGACGTGTCGCACTGAGTCGGTGCTGGTGCCGTAGAGATTCTTCCCAAAATCTCCCGACTCAATGAACTTCCCCGCCGCCAAGTCGGTCTCAAAGGCAGGCCGACTCACAAAATGGTACTCCCGCCCGTTCCGCTCATGTATCCTTATGTTTCTGGTTGTGTCTGAGCCAGGAGAAAGGACAGATTCAAAATTAGAATTGTTATTGACACAATTAATGACACAAAATGTTTTATAGTACAACTTCAAAAGTGGTCAGTTAAATGTTTTGAGGCGGTAAGTAAATTCCCAAATCCCCTATTTTTCTTAATCTGGAAAATAAAAAATGTGATGAGTATTTGATATTGTGAGTCAGCGTGGACTTACATGGGACGGCAACAGCGAACTTCTCCGGTTCGATGGACAGAAGCCTCCGCCGCAGCTCGTCATGGCCGCTGTTGGTCGGCCCGATCAGAGCGATGGGGCGTTTACGGTTAGCGGGCTGGTGATAGAGCGACATCTCCTCATAGGTCGGGATGTCCTCATAGTCTGAAGAGACAGTCGGGAGGGATTAATGAAACAACTTTCATTTACAAACCAAATCCTTTCCAGCTCATGGCTTACTGTTCTGTGACTAAATGTGACATTTGACTTATGTCTATTATACCATTGTCCTGCTTCATACTGGAATCTACCAGTCCCCTTCTGTTGGCCACTGTGTGTGTCTGAGTACATGTGTGTTTCTCTGCATTAATCAAGAACATCACCCATCCCTTCAAGCCATTTAGGCACCTGCTTGTGCTCTGATCCCATCTGTGGAGACAGGACTAATCTGACCCGTGACACACCTCGTCGACACAAGCTGCTGTCAGACGTGTCAGCTCTGGGTTCAGGGTTAACACTGCTCACAATGTGTGGGCTGCTGGAAGCTAGCCAGCACGCAGGCAGACAGGAGGTAAATGAGAAGTGACAATTGGAGGTCCGTGGGTTAGGGAGGGGCTTTGTAAATCGTAGCAGTGGAGAAAAAGGGGGACAAATTCTTCTCAAATGCTTCAGAGAAAAAGTCTTACCAGCATTTCTGCTCAGCGTAGACACAGGCTTCTTCCTCTGTCTCCTGCCTTTCTTTGCATACCAAATTTTCCCTGGAGACATGAGAATGTACAAATGTTTGCTTTAAAAAGTGATTAACATTTCACTTAAGTGACATTCATGTAGCCACCTAAAATCCTGTGACTCAGGGTCGATGTGTATATTTATGTATTTTCTCACCACTCAGTGTGTGTTTCAGTATTTTTACCCTTACCCTGCTGCTCACGACTCCTGTCAGTTATAGTTCTCTTCAAGGTCTCTCTCTGCTGCTGGAAGCTCTTCCCTGAAAAAGGTACACGCAAAGATAAGCAGATCAGCACTGTGAATATAGAACCAGAGTATTTTCCATTTCACAAACATGTATCTATGTAAAAAAACGCAACATGTATAGTTTCATGTATAGGACCACTACACTCAACAGCTAACATTACAAACAAGTCCAAAGCTTTTCAAGACCTCTCACTCTGTTTCATAATCTTCCTAGACATTCCAGGCATGCTGAGGAAAAAGCACGAGGGAGCTGATTTCCATTTCCAGTGCTTAACCTCGTTTTGGTCCAGACACAACAGAGGGTCACAGAGCAGTCGCTAATAATTCTTAGGCGTTTGTTTTTAATCTGCTTGATGTGCCAGGTGGGCGGTGTTTCCTGCCAGGATAGTGCTGCCAACTTATTAGTCACGGACAACATTCGAATACTTTACTGTGAGTGCATCCTGAAGAAGTGCTGGGGAGGAAGGAGAATTCCTTTGTAGTCTAAACAACATTGATATTCTGGCATCAGTGTTAATTCAATCAGCAATGTTGTATTTGTTCTTAATCCTGTTTCAAATGTACTTGTTAGTCATTGTTTATATGAATCATCCTGTTTTTTGTAGTGATGTTTTAGCCGTCCAAAAAAATCAGAGCCTTTTAGTCTTATCTACAATCAAACAAAAACATGAATTAAACAATACCTTTTAGTAATAGTCTGTGTGAAACACTACCTTTGAAATACAAATATATCGCAAAATATATCACAAAAACTGCTATTTTAGAGCTCCCCTCAGTGACAGACTTTAGATTTTCCCTTGGAGGTTTATAAGAAATAATCCATACCAATTTAAAGAAGTATACATGTTGTAAAATATATAACTGTATGCATTGTAAATGTACATACCATCTACGTTTTAGTTTCAATACAGCGTGTTCAGCGATTTGATATTGGTCAACACTTGTCCTTGCAGTTGTTATCCCCCCTTGTGTAGTAATAAGCTACAGATTGATATTCAGCTCTGGAGACCCTGACCTGGAATCAGTCCAGCAAGCGGCTGGTTGTCCTCGTCTCCGTCCCTGTAGGCTTGCCACCAGTTGGGGTCGTCCTGGCTGATGACGTGGAGGATGTCCCCCTTCTGGAAGGACAGGCCGAGCTCCCGACACGGCACGAAGGGGTCGTCGGAGGGGTCGTAGTCAAAGTAGGCTCGTACGTGCATCTGAGGACATGGGTCAAGGTTAGTGCTGTATGCAAGCAGACAGGCTTCTCATGCACACATGTTGTGGGTTAGTTGAAAGCAATAATATTAAGTTTGAATACAAAATTACTAGAACTAGAAATACTTCAACTTAATATTATTGCTTTCCAACTAACCTAATACACTAATGTGACATTTGGTGACATAATGCATTTTAATTAAAGTCAACGTTTTTGACACACACACACACACACACACAACACACACACTGGTGACATAATGCATTTAATTAAAGTCAACGTTTTTCACACACACACACACACACACACACACACACACACACACACACACACACACACACACACACACACACACACACACACACACACACACACACACACACACACACTTACCACAGTCTGTCTGTGAGCGGCAGGTTTAATCTGAGAGCTCGGGATGAGGAGGAAGGTCAGAGTGCCTTGCATTTGTTGCTGATGGAAAAGATGAGAAGTGATGAATTAGACATGACAGCGATTTCCATAAAACTGTATTTTTACTTTGGTTTTTACTTCAAACTTCTGGTACAGTTTATAGCAGTACATTCTATTTTGAGAGTGCATCTATTCAAGAACAAAAGCTCAGGTATATATATATACTTCAAATCACATTTAAATAAAACACTGTTCTTTTCAGAGATAAATACAGTTTCTGTCATAGTCAAGGTGAAACCTAAACACAACCAACAATAACCATCTATTGACATGTCTGAGGCTTTAATGTCTTCTAACTAACTACACATTATTCTTGAAGTGGAAATGCATCGTTGTTAAAACCTAATATCAACAGCTATGCCCGATGTTCCTATTATAATCACCATTCATGAATACATGATAACGCCCTTTATGGCATTACATGTACACGCCATTATTGTTCAAGGCAGTTAAAGCACTTGAAGGTAAATATTACAAAACTATTGTGAATAATTGAAACACCAATGGATCCTTTCTGTTCCTCACCAGGAGGTCGTGGACTTCGTTGACGTGTTTCCCGCGGATAGATATGCCGTTGATCTCCAGGATCTCGTCTCCTTCACTGAGGAGGCCGCTCTTCTCCGCCGCTCCACCTTTCACCACCCGACTCACCAACACACTGTCCATGTCGTTACGCACCGTTGCACCCTGACACACACACACAGACACACACACACACACACACACACACACACACACACAATGAAACACACATTTTTGTCCCGATATGACAGTAAACTGAGGGATACAAAGTGAAAAGCAGATGGGGAGCAGGAGTTTGAATAGAAATAAATGTCACATTAGGTGAACATCATTGTGTCATTGCCAATTTCCCTCCGGAGCTCACAGTGACAGGCATTTTGCTGCTCTGTTGGTTTGTGGGTCCTCTGACACTGACACACCCATATGATAAATGTGCGTGGTGAAGCATGGTGGAGGCTGAGAGGAGAGGCTTTTTCTGGACACACAATGCAAGAAAAAAAACACAATTACAAGAATGCTAAACATCCATTATGTCTCTTTTTTAAGATTTCTTCTTGTTGCTCCTTAGAATAATCTAATTGAACGCTGCGTGGGTGTTCAACTTGAAGCTGAGGAGTCATTTTAAAAAGCACATGTACAAAAATGTGACATGAATAGATGTTGCTCACCAGTGGGGTGTCGCGGGCCTTCTGCAGACGCACCAGTTTGACCGTCTCTCCGAGGTACTGGGCCGCACTTTCCTCGGCTATCTCCTGCCCTGCCACCGTGTCATGAGCCTGCATCAGGGCCTGCCACATCCAACACACACACAGACACACATGGAGAGACACACAGAGCGGACACACAGACGTTTCACAAACAGACAGAAGACATAAAGGAGGCGGCAGCGTTAGGTGATGGGAATACGATTAAAAGGTTTAATATTGGGAAATGATATGAAAGGAAATACGTCAATAAGATAAGATGGACTTTTATTAATCCCTCGTGGGGAAATTGCTTCTCTGCATTTGACCCATCCTAGTGTTAGGAGCACTGTGCTGCCATTTTGAACGGCGCCCGGGGTAATAATAATAATAATAGGGTATGAGGTTTGTAATAGTTGTTTGGTACTCTATTTATGTAAATTCACTGAGGAAATTGTTGAAAGTGACAGATATTTGATCAAAATGAAGCTAATATCCAGCAAGAAAGCTATCACTAGGAAAGAACCACAACTCAACAGAAAGTGGGACAAATGGACTCAAAACAAAGACATCTGACTGGAACAATAGCTATAATAACATATCTCTAGCTTTTTATTTTATTTGTATTTCCTTGCTGGCCTTTTGTCACATGATTGTTATGTTGTTGTAGTAACCAGCATGTTAATGCCATGTGTATTGTGACGATAAAGATTTAAATTACAAACAAATGAAGTATAATATTGTGCTTGCAAAGATTTTTTATAACATGGTTGGCATGAAAATACGTTTACAATATGTATTACAATATAGTGGTTTGGCCCTAACAAATGAAAAGAAGTAAAAAAAAAATTCCCCCCCCC